TTATGTGGGGGTTTCCCAAAAGTGAGGGTACTTTTTTGAAGGTCCCCAGAATTGGGACTCTGGTATTTTGGGCATATTGGGGTCCCTCTATTTTGGCAAACTACCAAAACTTCCATGCACTCCCTTAGTTCCTACTAACCCCTTAACCCTAAACCTTAACCCCCTAGAAAGCAATCCTCATTCCTACAGAGCACAGCCCTGAGCTTTCAGGCCTGGTTGGCAAGGTGCTGGCAGCGGTCGCTCCTTGGGAGGCTGTGGCAGCTTCTAAGTTGCTTGTTTAGGGTTTAGGGTTTAGGGTTGGAAGTCCGCGTGAAGTAGGGCATGGAGTACTTATGGGATGGAGGGTGGGGGGTACATGCACCACATCGATATTGTCTCGGTTTCCAGGCATGGGTATTGCGACTTTTTCGGATCACCGGCATTCCAGGGCTTCGCGTTCGGAGCTGGAAACGCCTCGGCTGTAGACTCGAAACCGTTGTGCACCCAGTGCTGTAGGACCCTTAGCTCTCTAACATCGGAACCATAGATCTGATCAATCTGAATCAGGACACCTTGAATCCCGAAGTCTGTGAGGCACGGACCCAGGAACCTTGAAGCATTGCAGACCTGCGACGGTCAATCCAAGCCTGAACCCTTACAGATGCATCTTGGAGTTTCCAAGAGCTTGCACGACCAACCAACCGTTACCCGAACTTGCACGAGGAAGTGTAAGGCAGGAATTCTCCACCCCCCCAAAACATCCTACCCTCGCGAATAGCTTGAACACTCTCAAGCCACAGGCCCAAACCCTGCCCTGATTCAAAAGCTACACCCTGGCCCCCTAGATCCTCAAACACCTCTGCTCTTCAACCCTGCAGTTTAAATGTTTAGATCTTGTCAATCCCTTGATGAGCTGCAAAGGCGCTCAGAAAACCACACCCATCCCCGCGTTTTGCTTTGACCAGGCGAGGGCGATGGCGCCCAACTCTCCCCGGAGGAGAGGAGGCAGAAAGCGCTCGAGGCCGATATTTTCAGGGATGGGGGGAGAGTGGCTTGGTGATGAGGATTTTCCCCCCTCCTACACCGCAGAAATCCCGTAAAATCCTCAAAGATTTGTTTTCATTTGCCAGGGGAAGACGATTATGTTGAAAGTTATGTGGGTCTACGGCATAGGGTTTTCAGTCCTAAGCTCCACTGGAGCCTACACTCTGGGCCTTTCATTCGGGTCCTGGATCCCCTAAACCCCAAACTTTACACCCTAAACAAACCCCAAACCGTAAACCTCGAAATCTAAGCCCCAAACCCTTAACCCCAAACCTTAAACCCCAAACCCTAAGCCCCGAACCCTATACCCCAAACCCTAAACCCCAAACCCTGAACCCTAAGTCTCTAAATCATCCATCTGCCTCGGTCTTTTGCTCTAACAGAGGCCGCGGAGCGGCGGCAAAACCAAGTTGCGGGCGTCTCCGAGAAAAAGGCTTGGGCGTTCACCAGGTTCAGGTTCAGCTTTCAGGTTTGAGGGTTGGGGTTTATTAGGATTTGGGGGAGGCTTTAGGCTTTAGAGGCAATAGGGAAGGAATGAGTTGAAAAGAACATGAAAACTACTATGTGGTTGGGGATTATATTATATGCGGCTACTCTTTGGACCCACAACTCCATGTTATATGAACAACCAGCAAGTCAGTTTCACAGAGCCTCTAGGGTTCATAGATTTTGCGCCTGGCGTCACAAGTAGGACAGCCGCAGCTCTGACGTTCCTCATATGGTAGTTTCGCTAAAAAGGAGGACCCCATATTAGGCCCCCAACATATTCCTAATCCATATTATAGGGCCCTCCCAAGACCGCATCCCTAATTTTGGGCAAGCCTCATGGGCCCCGTAGCAAACCATGGCTTTCCATTCACCGGCAACTCCCTAGCTCCTGGTTTCTCGCCTACATAGTATCAGGTTTATGGGTATTTATGATTGTCGTTGCTGCTACGGGTATCCTTTCTGATTCCATGGTGGCCGCACAAGAAATTGTCAGGAGAGTTTCTACTCTTTCCCTTTGTTTGTTCCAGTATTCCTGTTTGTCGCGCTGGTCGTTGTCTGGTCGACCTCTGGGTCTACTCTCCATCTCTCTCTCTCTTTTACAAGCCATCCGGCCTTCTCACCGGCGAACATTCGCATTCTCTTTTTCTCTGGCCTCTTTTTCTGGACACAAAGGGTATGTTCGCTCTGAAGGGTATCATTGTTTAAATCGTTTGGTTTGGTGCGGTAGGAGTGCACAGCACTCTCACCTGAAGTATCGGAGTATGACTCGCATACCCAGAAGGTTATTCCTTGCATCATTATTAATAGAATAGCTATGGCCCTTGTTGAAATCATGTAGGCAAAGTGAATACTATCTACTGACCTCCTCTACAGTTTCCTTATAGGGGAGGATAGAACTGTCTGAATATGTTCAAACAGCTGCAGCCAATACCTGTGCAAGATGCTTCCAACACCAGCAGGAAGGTAAGATTCCAGATTTTCATCATACAAGTAATACTTACTGCTTCTTAGAAGGGAATAGGGAATATATGTGTTAGGGTTCATATAGGGATAATATTCCCTGACTCCCTACTAAGAGCTAGTAAGTAGTAGCATTCATAAACGCCCCACTTTGAGGGACCCTTCCCCAAAGGACTCCCAACCCAATTCCTGCAGGAATCCACCAACCCTCGAGTTGCAGAGCTTACGGGCATTTTCAACTGGGTTGCTGCTAAGGAACTTAAATTAAGTTACTATATTGGGGAAACCTTGTTTTTTTTTCACTTTATATACCCATTATGGTAACTTAATTTAAGTTCCTTAACAGCAACCCAGTCAAAGGCTTACAATGCCTTTGGCTCTGTGCTGGCCAGGTTCAAGAGCTCCGCCAAAAGGAGCAAAAGGACGCGCTCCTGGGCAAGCTGGCGCTCCCTGCTTGCGTGCATGTGCGAATATACTACATTGTACTGGAAATTTGTTGTAATACATTATCATATGTTATGATTTACTGTATATACTGTAGTATATTATGATATATTAACATATACTAGAATAGACATGGCTGTGGGTTCAGGCATTCAGGATCATGACAGGTTCAAGAGTGCAGGGTTTGAGGAGAAGAGCTTGCAAGCGGTCTGTAGGGTCAAAGGGGCATGAATTAGGGTTACGGGAGTGTCACAGGCTCAGTGCTGCGGAGCTGCTGCCAGGTTTCTAGTTCATGCTCTTGCTCCGACGGGAACTCTACTCTTGTGATATTTGTGCCCAGCAACCCTGGTTAACATCCTCAAGGCAGACAGCGGAAACCATAAACTTTAGCCCCAAACCCTAAATCCTGTAAGCCCCTTGTCATTAAGGGTCCTTACCTTGCATGACCCGTGCCCTGTTCACTTCGCATGGGCAGGCAGAGCACTACGCTCGGCAAAAGTGGGCATCCAAGTGGTTTAAACTCCTCATGCAAAAGGTTTTATAGTGGACTACTTTCGGGGTTATTCAGGGGATACTTGGAGTTTAGATTACGGCTCAAGTGAGCGTGCGGCGCAATCCGGTTTCTAGAAGCACGCGCGCCGTTTTTGGAGAATGTTTTTGACTTCTGCTGCTGTGAGCAGACAAGGTACTTGCGTCTTTCGCCGCCGTGAAAGGTATG